AACCATGTAGAGTGTGCTTGTCTTAGATCTTGTGGCTGAGTGAGGTGATACGGGAAGTCAAGCCATTGAGCCATTAAAACTATATTATTTCCCTTCTCTATTTTTTTTTTCCTTACATCCAACTATCACTGAAAGTCCATCTCATGATTTAAACTTTCAGAACTTTGCCTGTGTTCAGTGGCCACTTAATGTTTTATAACATTGAATAGGAATCTGTAAGATATTATAATTAATCTTAGGGCAAGAAATTTCTAAATCTTCATATTATATCACAGTGCCTCTTACAATGACTTGATTACTGACACTTAATTTAGATTACTATATAGATTGATAGTAACAGGGAATATTCCATACAGTGTTCTATGAGTTCATTCATGTGAAACTTTAAAAGGGCAGGAGGTTTTGCCTCTGCTAAACTATATTTTAATGGCCATTCTTTACTTTTTATTCATGGTTTTCCTGTACAATGTTTTCATTTGTGACTCAAAACAATTCAACAAGGTAGACAAGAAAGACTTCATTATTCTTTCTTTACAAGGAAATGACGAGTCAGAAAGCCTAAGTCTAGAAAATGTGTCAGGTGAGAGGCAGCAGCATTCTCCTTTCTGCAGACCCCTGATACCTGCCTTGAGCATCTTACTGTCTTTCCATGGGCAATGATGAAAATAAACACTCATAGTATGTACACAAAGTTGACTTTTACTACAGGGATATCAAGCTCCCCAAACTAAGGTCAACAGGTGAGGGAATACTAAAAACAATAGAAAGAGTAATTTAAAAAAAATCAGCTTTACATGGGTCAGTAATAGTCCAAGATACAGAGAGGAAGAGACTTTTACTACATTTACTTGTGTTCTCCTCTCTAGTGAATTCTATAATTTTATTTTTACATGATTTAGTATTTCTAGACAAACTACTGTTCTTTGGCATTTTAAATATTTAGAAGCATTCACAGACCTTCACTGCCCTATTTTTCAGTTGTTGTTTCTGAACTCTGTGAGGTTTTAAAATGTACTTATCATGAGATTACTGTTTTTTACTGATCCTATGAATCCTACAAATATCATATGATTAATAGCATGCATTGGTCTTTGTGCAGTCAGCCATTGACCAGCAACTTCCTCCTGTTCCCCAACATACCCTGACCCCTGACCTCAACATAGACATGTGCATTTTCCTTCTATAGTTTAAATGGGACAAGGATATTCATGATGTCACTAGTTAGGAAAGTGTCAGACATTCTCTTTTTCTGGCTGAGATCTCTCCCTTATCTCCCCCATCATTGTCTTTAAGAAGTTGCAGTTCCTCCCAAAGGCAGGAAGATGTAACAAGTTAGACAGATATTGCTAAATGTAGCTGACAAATGGAATGACAACCTCACAACATCCAGAGCTTTCTAGGCAACAGAATAAACTGGTATTGAGTCAAGGTATTTAAGAAAATTTTTTGGGTGATAAAAAAGATATGTAAGCCACAGTCTTTGGTTGCCTCAACTGAATTGTGTTGCTACATGGGAAAAACAAGTATTAAAATTAATTACAATACCAGAAAAATTTGTTAAGTGCTTTAATATAAGTGTAAAAACATTCTAATAGACTCCTCAATGTGTAAAAAATTTTTCTGATGGTCATATTGAAGCTCATACAGAATTGCTATTTCCTATTTAACTATGTCTTGAATCAGTCCACTTGTTCTCTATCCTTAACATTTTGAGAATTTTGCATAGCTCAGTTAATTCCCAAATTAGTAGATTAAAATGGTCTATAACACACAATTATCTTTACCTAGGACAAAACATTCAGGTGGTATTTTTATGAAGGAATGTATGTAAGTAATGCATGTTTATGTATCTACTTTTTGCTTTTCCTCTATGCTAGTAGATGAATAGAAAAGCATAAAATGAGATAAAGATGATGAATAAGATGAATTATTGGGGATTATGGTGCAAAATTTTCCAAGAGAGGTTATATATATGAGGATAAATTTATTGTGACTGTACTTGTACACACGTATAAAACCAAAAACCAACCCATTGGTATTAAATCAAATCCGACTCATAGCCACCCTGTAGAATATAGTAGAGATGCCCCATAAGGTTTCCAAGGCTGTAATCTTTACTGAACCACATCAGCACCTCTTTCTTCTGCAGAGCAGCTGGTTAGTTTGAACTGCCAACCTTTCGGTCAACCACTTAACCACTGTGCCACCAGAGCTGCTAACACATGTATAAAGGCACTGCCATATCTAATACTTGTAGAATACTTATTCACTTTTTAAGTGCTTATAGGAATTAGCTCACTTAATCCTCATAGAAACCACATGAAGAAGGTACTATTTTCACTCCTTTTATAAACAGGCAAAGCGAAGAACAGATAATTTAAATAAACGTTTAATTTCACCTAGCTATTAGATGACTGTACTTAGATTTAAACCCAGATAGAATATATCAGAAACTCTTAACTACTATACTATTCAGCATGCTTGTGACTGTGTGTCTGCTTTGGGTGTACAGATGTGAGCGTATATAAAACATGTACATTTTGTACATATGTTTTGGAGAATTCACCTAGTGCATTTGTTTATTCATAATAACTTGGATTCTCAAAAAAGCATACTTTTACTTCACATATACTCACTTCAAAAGTACAATTGATAGAGCATAAAACAATGAAAGTCAGGAAAAGTGTTTAATATCCCATTTCTACCGCTTGTTACTTTTCTCCCTAATTTTGGTGTATCTCTTCATCTATGCTAAGTCCTCTGTATTATATATAACATAAATTACCACTATGCCTTCTTTGCTGCTAGTTGTGGAATATTGTTTAGTGAACTGTTTAATCACCACTAAAATGTATTGATTAAAGAATTGTTATCTTGGAAAAAGTTATGCTTTTTAAACTTAAAAATTTTCAAAAATAAAAATTAGTTATTGTAGAACCATGAGTGCTGATGGCAATGAAGATCAAATCTGTGAATTACTTGACAGTCGTTGCATGAGTAAATCAGAATCTCCTAAATTTCAAAAGGATTAAATGATGGGCAGAGCCTAAAAGCAAGTAATTTAACACTGCTAAATACATAGAGCCCTGATGATGCAGTGGTTAAGAGCTATGGCTGCTAAGCAGAAGGTCGGCAGTTCAAATCCACCAGCCGCTCCTTGGAAACTATCAGACAGTTCTACTCTGTCCTAGAGGGTTGCTGTAAGTCTGAACCAACTAGACGGCACCTAGCAACAACAGCAAATATATAGATGAAGATAAGGGATATGTTTTCTACTGGATGGACCAAAACTTTGTACAAATATAAAAGTTCAAGTCCTGGATGCAGATTCAAGCTACCATATATGAAAATAATGAAAGATTTCGATTGATGATTTACCCAAGGAGTCAACAATGTTGGATTTTGTTAGTCACTATCTGATAACGTGGAGGTTTGGTGGTGCAGTGATTAATAGCTTGGCGGCTAGCCAAAAGATGGGCAGTTTGAATCCACCAGCCCATCCCTGAAAACCCGCTTGGGCACTTCTACTCTGTTCTATAGGGTCACTATGAGTTGGAATCTACTTGATAGCAACAGTTTTTTTAACTGAAGCCTGATAACATGACCTCAGGTTATCAGATTGTGCTAACGGACAGATGGAGTCCAAAACACTGGAAGTCAAATCCCCTCATGTACTAAAAGATGCAAGTAATTTGATATGACTATAAAATGGGATTCATTTGGGTAAGAAGTGGGATAGATTTTATCCATAATTAGTGACCCGATTCGGAGATGTTTTTCTAATCACATTAAGAAATTTGAACTTTAACTGCAGACAATCATAGCTTTCATTTAGTAAAGAACATTGTGATAGAGAAAGGACAACAGATGAGAAATATTGAAGGTAAATAAATTAGTTATAGTGATAAATTAGTTATAGTGGGAAGAACAGGTGGAAAGAGCTTTATGGCGGCCTTCAGGCGATGGCATGACCAGCACAGCAGCTAGAATTCTTCCATAGGAAGCAATGATCAGTAAAAACGGGCTGGAAATACAAAGAATGACCACCACAAAGACTGCAGCTTCATTATGGGACGAATCCCCACAAGCAAGTGCCAGGATGGGTGGGAGGTCACAGAAGAAGTGGTCTATCTCACAGGGACCACAGAAGTCTAAGGAGAAAATACAGTTGGTTTGGCCCAGACTGACCATGCATCCCACCCCCCAAGAAACTATTGTCAAATGGGTACACACCTCATGACTCATTCGTGTTGCATAGTGGAGTGGAGAGCATATGGCTATATAGCGGTCAGTCGTTCAGTCGTTCAGTATAGATATGGTATGAGTGGCTGCACTACAGTCTTCACATGGCTGACCCTCCTTATCATTCACATCTCAGCTCATAGCTCTCATCCTTAATAGCCCTCTTGGACCACTCAATCTAAATTGGTCAGTTTCCAGCATATATCCTGGTTTAAATTCTATGCATTGCACCATTTTTTAATTTATTTAATGATCATTTAATTTCTGCTTTCCTATAAGCTCTATGTGGGGAGAGACGTTGATTTTGATTCATTGCTGAATTCCAGGACCAAAAGCAGTAACTGCCAAATAGCCTGTGCTAAATAAAGACTTGTTGAATGAATGAGTGAAGAAAGAAATAAAGTCAGTATCAACAGAAATGAGAAGACATGGATAGATACAAAAGATATCAGAAGACGTTTACTTTGTAGTATTTCATGATAGATTAAAGGAGGGGATGACGAGAGAATTGGCCTGGAATCTTCTTTTTTTCATTTTATGCTTTGGTGACTAAGTGTATTTTGGACACATCTGCTGAGAAAGTGAGGATAGAAGAGGATTTGGGTTTGAAACTGTATGAGGATGAGTGTAATTTCAGAACTTTTGAATTTCAGAATTGCAGATAAGGAATTGTGGACCTTGTTACCTCTCTGACTTACCAGAACTCTTTAAAAGTAATATAACAATTTGTCTCCCTTATGTGAAGGTATCCTTCTGATGACTTTGCCTTTCTCTTTTCCAGGTCATGAGCCTCAATTGCTCCTTGTGGCAGGATAACAGCATGTCTGTCAAACGCTTTGCATTTGCCAAATTCTCTGAAGTCACTGAACAGTGTTTCCTCCTGTTTACCCTCATCCTACTCATGTTCTTAGCATCACTGACAGGAAATGCTCTCATAGCCCTCACCATCAGGACAAACCCAGTCCTCTGCACTCCCATGTACTTCTTTCTGGCCAACTTGTCCCTCTTGGAAATTGGCTACACTTGCTCTGTCATACCCAAGATGCTACAGAGTCTCGTGAGTGAGGCTCGAGGGATCTCTCGGGAGGGTTGTGCCACACAGATGTTTTTCTTTATATTATTTGGTATTAGTGAATGCTGCCTGTTGGCCGCCATGGCTTTTGACCGCTATATAGCCATATGCTCTCCACTCCACTATGCAACACGAATGAGTCATGAGGTGTGTACCCATTTGACAATAGTTTCTTGGGGGGTGGGATGCATGGTCAGTCTGGGCCAAACCAACTGTATTTTCTCCTTAGACTTCTGTGGTCCCTGTGAGATAGACCACTTCTTCTGTGACCTCCCACCCATCCTGGCACTTGCTTGTGGGGATACGTCCCATAATGAAGCTGCAGTCTTTGTGGTGGTCATTCTTTGTATTTCCAGCCCATTTTTACTGATCATTGCTTCCTATGGAAGAATTCTAGCTGCTGTGCTGGTCATGCCATCGCCTGAAGGCCGCCATAAAGCTCTTTCCACCTGTTCTTCCCATCTGCTGGTAGTAACACTATTCTATGGCTCAGCATCAGTCACCTACCTGAGGCCCAAAGCTAACCATTCACCAGGAGTGGACAAACTCCTAGCTCTTCTCTATACAGTGGTGACATCCATGCTCAACCCCATCATCTGTAGTTTACGGAACAAGCACATCAAGGCAGCCCTCAGAAGAACTCTGGGCAAGAAAAAGTTTTGACTCATGGGTAGGTATGCGAGGATCATGCAAATCTGCTCTTTGGAAAGGATGCACACACAGCCCAAGAGTAAACAAATAAACTAACAAAATTACTGTGCACTCTTCTACCTGTCTTATAAGGAGCTTATTTAATAACAGTAATTGCAATTTTGAAGGCATCTGTGTACTCACAACTAAAGTCCTGATTGTTAACTTCTGAAAGGAGATCAGATACTGGAAAAACTTGAAAGATGAGTCCAACACTGATCAGGTTTCCCAAAATATTTTTATCTAGGCACAGAGTATAAATTCCCTGGTTATGTCTCAGAAGGCTGGAAGATTCTCACATGACACTCTTAGGCATTTTCTCACCCCTGAGGGGCCCATCTGACCTCGCCCTGGTCACAAAAGGACATGTATCCACATATATCTGTCCCACATGACTTTTAATTTTCTAATAACTGCATGAAGTGCACTATTTTCTTCAATACAAAAAAAGGTAAACTTATTCAACTTTAGTTATTGATGGAGACCTGGTGGTATAGTGGTTAAGCATTGGCTGTTAACAAAAAGATCAGAGGTTCAAATCCACCAGCCGCTCCTTGGAAACCCCATGGGGCAGTTCTACTCTGTCCTTTAGGGTCGCTATGAGTCGGATTTGACACGATGGTAATGGAACGGGTTAGTTATTGGTACTTCATGTAAAGCCAAAGATATCTTTTTGTGAGTGTGTGTGATGTTTAAGGTTGTGTGTCAGGTTGGCTGGGCCATGATTCTCAGTGGTTTGGCAGTCATATGATGCTGTGATCACTTCCATGATGATATTTGACATAATTTGATCACCTCCATGATGGGATCTGCCTTGAGATGCCAATCAGTTGGAAAAGAGTTTCCTTGGGCATGTGGCCTGCATGGAATATAAGTGGACATTCTGGCAGGGCTCATGGGCTTTTGCTCTCTCTGGATCCTACAGCTGGCTTCTCTTCATCTGACCTCCAGTTCTTGGACTTGAGCTAGCAGCTTATTTGTGGTCTTGCCTGTTGATCTTGGGATCCCTCTATCTTCGCAGGCTATGAGCAAGAGCTCTGCTCTCTGATCTGCCTATCTTAGGTTTGCCAGTCCCTGTGGCTATGTGAATCAAGAGAAGCCTCTATCCTGCCCCATGGATTTGGGACATTCCAGCCTCTACAACTGTGTCTATTTCCTTGGTCTGTATACATTTATAAGATTTATTGGTTTTGCTTCTCTAGAGAACCCAGCCTAAGACAGTGTGGAACCATAAAAATATGTAAACATGCAGGAAAAAAAAAAAAAAAGCAAACTCTTATGTTTCAGAAGTATTTGCTATGGAATATCAAAGAAAAATATGGGAAATTTTAATCAAGAGTTCCTATGGTGAAGGTGCTTTAAGAACAAAGAGAAATAATATTAATATTCAAGGATAGAAGAAGAAAACTGAATTAAAATAATTACATAGATAATTTTCAAGATTTTATGTAATTAAAAAATATTATATCTGTTCAAATGAATCTCAGCTCAATATATTTGGAGAGCATCCCAAGACTTGCTCTTAAGAGAAATGAATATAGTTTCAAGGCAATTCAGTAGCTCTAGGAACATATAAGGAGTCCCTGGGTGGTACAAATGGCTAAAATATTCAGCTTCTAACTGAAAGGGTGGAGGTTTGAGTCCACTCAGAGGCAACCTGGAAGAAAGGGCTGATTTACTTTGGAAAAAATCAGCCATAGAAAACTTCTTGGAGCATAGTTCTACTCTGACACACAAGGGGTTACCATGAATTAAACCGACTTGATGGCAACTGGTTAGGAACCTATAAAGGCATTGCCTGGGGTTTGAACATTTTAATGTTTTACATATCTATATTATCATTTATTAACTTGCCTTTAATATTTTCCATATTAAAAGTTCCTGAAATATTGATGATAGTTAGAAATTCTTTACTAACTTTGTCCTCATACTTTGTGTTGTTTGGTTTCCAAGAGTCTTTAGTGCACATTTCTCTCAGCACTGACTGTAACGACAGTAATGATGATCAATATTTATTTCATAGTCTCCAAGCACCAACCCTAAGTTATTTATTAATTACTAAGGGAAAAAAATTAAATATTTAACACCCTAAAGATATCTTCTTAACAAAGTGATCACAGTGAATATATTGATGTTATATACTCTGTGTTGTGATAAACTGAGGACAAAACATCACTTCTGGGGTATTCTTGCCAAAAATGTATAACCTCACTTTTATAATGAGAAAACATTAGACAAAACCAAATAAAGAGATGTTCTACAAAACAACTGACCAGCATTCTTCAAAAGTGTTGACTCACAAAGGCACCATGCACATAGATCATTCACCAGGATAGACCACATGTTAGGTCACAAAAGAAGTCTCAGTAAATTTAAAAAGATTGAAATCATGCAAAGTATTTTATCCAATCACAATGGAGTGAAGCTAGAAATCAATAACAGAAAGAAAAAAAAGTGTAAAATATACAAACATAGGGAAATTAAACAACACACTATTAAACTACCAGTGGGTCAAGGAAGAAATCAAAAGAGAAATCACAAATTTCTTAGGGTCAAATGAAAATGAAAGCATGAAATACCAAAACTAATGGCATACCGTGAAGGCAGTACTCAGAGGAAAACTTATAGCAATAAACACCTATGTAAAAAAAAGAAGATCTCTAACAAACAGCTTAACTTTACAACTTGAGAACAAGAAAGAGAAGAGAAAACTAAGCCTAAACCTATCAGAAGAAAACAAATAACAAAGATCATAACAGAAATAAATGAAAACAAAAAACAGAAAAACAATAGAGAGAATCAAAAGAAACAGAAGTTGGTTCTTTGAAAAGATCAATAAATTGACAAAACTTCAGAAAGACTGATAAAGAAAAAAAGATAAAAGATGCAAATAAACAAAATAAGAAATGAAATAGGAAACATTACAATTAAACCAATAGACAATGAGAATTATGAGAGAATATTATGAACAACTGTAGGGCAATGAAGTGAATCATCTAGATAAAATGGAAGAATTCTGAGAAGCACATAACCTATTCAAACTGACTCAAGAGGAAATAGAAAATTTCAACAGACCCATAACAAGTGAAGAGATTGAATCAGTGATGAAAAAACTCCTAACAACAACAACAAAAAGTTCTGCACCATATGGCTTCACTGAGGAATTCTACCAAACATTTAGAGAAGAATTGACACCAATACTGTTGAAACTCTTCTAAAAGATAGAGAAGGGAGGAATACTTCCTAATTCATTCTATGAAGCAAATAAAATCCTGATAATAAAACCAGACAAAGACACCCCTAAAAAAGAAAACTACAGCCAATACTTTTATCAGTATAGATGCAAACATCCTCAACAAAATACTTGCAAATGGAATCCAACATTGTACTCTGCACATTTGCTAAATTCCTCTATCAACCCTGGAAGTTTTTTTGTGGATTCTTTGGGATTTTCTGTATATAGGATCACGTCATCTGTGAATAGAGATAATTTTACTGCTGTTCCAACCTGGATAACTTTTATTTCTTTTTCTTGTCTTATTGTTCTGGCTAGGACTTAAAATATTGAATAGAAGTGGCGAAAGCAAACACCCTTGTCTTATTCCCAATCTCATGGTCAACAAACAAAAATCAGTTGGGTTTCTATAAGCCAGCAGTGAGAACTCTGCAAGGGAAATTAGGAAAACGAATCCATTTCCAAAGCATCTAAGAAAATAAAATACCTAGAAATAAATTTAGCCAGGGATGTGAAAGACTTATATGATGAAAATTATAAGACACAGCTGAATGAGATTAAAGAGGAAATTAATAAATGGAAAAATGTTTTGTGTTCATGGATTGGAAGATTTAATTTTGTTAAGATGCCAGTATTACCCAAAGTGATCTATAGAGTCAATACAACCCTGATCAAAATTCCAACAGTTTTCTTTAAAGAAATGGAAAAAGTAATCCTCAATTTTATAAGGACTAGGAGACCCTGGTAAGCTAAATCACTGTTGAAAGAGAGGTACAAAGTCGGAGGACTCACACTTTCTGATTTTAAAACATATTAGACAGCTACAGTAATCAAAACAGCTGTATACTGGTATAGCAACAGATATATAGACTGCATAGAATTGAAAGCCCAGAAATAAACCCACACATCTATGGTCAACTGATTTTTGACAAGAATGCTAAGGACATTTGATGAGGAAAGAAGGTCTCTTCAATTAACTGTTGGGAAAACTATATTTCCTCATGCAGAAAAATTAAACAGGGTGCATGCTTCACAAAAACAAATAAAAATGGATTGAAGACCTAAATGTGAAAACTAAAATTTTTAGAAGAAATTGCAGGAACAAGGCTATCAGGCCTAACTTTTAACAATAGATTTTCCACTATAATAACAAAAGCACAAACAGCTTTTAAATTGAATAAAAGGGACCTCATAAAAATTAAAAACTTCTGTTCACCAAAAGATTTCAACAACAACAACAAAAAAAATGAAAAGACAAGCTACAGACTGTGAGAATATCTTTGGAAACCATACAGTTGATAAGAATCTAACAGGCAAAGTATATATAAAATTTGTGACAACTTAAATTAACAACAAAAAGATGAATAACCCAAACATAAAATGGGCAAGAGACTTGAATAGACATTTCACCAAAGAGGACATTCAAATGGCCACGGAACACATGAAAAGATGCTCAGCATCATTAGCCATCAGCGAGATACAAATTGAAATCACAATTAAATATCATTCCACCCCCACTAGGATGGCTTGAAAACCCTGGTGGCATAGTAGTTAAGAGCTATGGCTGCTAACCAAAAGGGTGGCCGTTCAAATCACCAGGCACTCCTTGGAAACTCTATGGGGCAATTCTACTCTGTCCTATAGGGTCACTATGAGTTGGAATGGACTCAGTGGCTACGGGTTTGGTTTATTTTTATTTTTTTTGGTTTATGATGGCTAAGATTAAAAATAAATAAATAAATGTTGGCAAGGATATGGGGAAATTGGAACCCTTATCCATCCCTTGTGGGAATGCAAAATGATACAGCCATTAGGGAAAACAGCATAACGGTTCCTCAAAATACTAAAAATAGAATTACCATTTAAAAAAACCCCAAACCCGTTGACATCCAGTCTTTTCCAACTGATAGTGACCCTTTAGGACAGCGTAGAACTCCCCCGTATGGTTTCCAAAGAGTAGTTAGTGGATTCAAACTGCCAACCTTTTGGTTAGCAGCTGAGCATTTAACCACTGTACTACCACAGGACCTAGCAATTCCA